AATGACTTGTACGATTCAATTCCACCGATTAGGCGGATGAAGGTTTACAATTCTTGAGAATCCACTTTCCTACCGATGATGCTTGCCTCGAAGGCGAATAATCGTCATCTTCTTCGGTAATCCACACAATCCAAAACCAACAGCCCCACGTCCCCCAAAAACGTATTATCATCGTAATCCCTGTTCAATCTGCTCTAAACCGACACACAAATCAATGAAGCTACGATTCCATTGATTTTATTTTCTTTTCCACATACCGCCACCTACACTACATAAATTCCTCTTCCAGAGCTGATGGCAATGGGAGGAGATGCGAGGCAAAAGAACCCACCATAAAACCTCTTCCGAGAAAAGAAATCGCTGTCTCACCGTCGATTTCCCTCGTGCACTCAGCCTTGCCCGAGATTGAATTTTCCGTATCAGAACATTCGAACTCCTGTCGCGTGCACACAGCTTCCCACCCCCCTCGCATTCGGATCAAAGTTCGCACATGGAATGGCAGAAGCATGAAACACCGCAAAAGAAAAAAAAAATCGAAAGTCAGAGAGAAAAAGTGCCACGCGGATGAGGAAAAATATCATAATCAAAAGTCACGAGAGTAGACGAAAGAAGAATAAGATAAATTGAGCCATATTTTCAAATTTATATCATTACCCTATCGTCGGCGTCGGCGTCGTCGTCGTCGTCCTTGTCGCCACCGTCATCGGTATCGTCAAAGTTGTTGGTGTTTGGTTGGACGCATTTCAAGCAGGAAAAGAGGAGAACCACCTCTTTCTGGTGGCTGAAGATCTCTTGGGGACACAGTTGGAGGATGGAAAGTGTTGATTTGATAGCTTGGTGTGAAGCAGCTACTAAGCAAAAGCATGTCGGTGGTGGAAGGTTCGATTGTCGGTCCACTGTACGACATAGTACGGGTTCGAAATTTCCCTGTTAGGACTGAACTTGTCACGAAGGCTTAGGCAGACTTAGAAAGCTCTCAACAATTGCGGAAAAGTTCAACGAACACTATTTCGAGGGAAGCCGTAAAGTTCCAGTTGGGACGTAATAACCATGTAGGAGTAGAAGCGGGGATCTGAAAAAAGGGGTCCAGAAGGGGAATGGAATGGAGACTGTACAAACGCTAGGACATTGGCAACTTTGGGAAGATCATTTGCAGACAATTACACTGGATGGGAATTGTTTTTTTAGTGGTATTGAGCATTGAGGTACTTTGCACTAAAATTGAGCCGTAGTCAAACATGTCGTCAGTTTTGGTGCTCTGGAACTATTTCAAACAAGTTCGATAACATTGGCACAACTCATCATTTAAGCACCATTTAGCGGCACTGTAGTATGGGGGAGTTGCCATTTTTACTATTTCCCAAGTTAAAATGTTTGTATTATAAAGGTTCTGTAGGTCAGTGATCGGAAAAATTCAAAAACTCAAATCTCATGCATGAGTTTATTCGCCTATGAGTTTTACATGGTGAAATTCAACTGCGCAAAATTCACCGATGAGTTTTAAGTTTTAAACATTGATTGCTTTATATTTTGGCGCTATTCATTGTTATTGGTGTTTTTTTTTTTAATCAGTGGATGGAAAGCTAACAAAACATTCTTGAGCTTGCTATCAATTGACGTTTGAGCGATTCTTATGAGTTTTAAGTAGAAATGTTTTTTGGCATTGCGAGTGTGAGTGCGTGAAAATACATGAGAACCTCAATCGTGAGATTTATTTTTCAGATTTACATGTGAGTTTATTCTCTCAGGGAGGCTCAATGTTTTGCGAATAATTTTCCGAACTCAGCTGTAGACCATGAAAGCTATCGACTAGATGCTTACGCCAGATGACGAATTGAGTGTGAAACAATCGATAGAACTGTTTCCGCACATCGCAGGTACGTGAGCAAATCGGTCATCATCTCTTTTGCCAGTGGTGGTGGGGGGAGATACCCCTCACCATCCCTCCCCAACGGGGGAGTTTGGTAAAGGAGGTGATCAACTCGATTCGTAGCTTCCTCAAAATTGATCGTTGCTCACTTTCTACTCTCTATATACAATTTTCACACTGTCGTAATCTAACGGAACTACATGGGAACAAATCCAATCTCCGAAATGGGAAAAATGACTCATGATTTCATGAACATATCGTATTTTCATGTTATGAAAATACACCATTGATAATATTCATGATATCATGAGCTATGTTTGCGTAACGCACCCAAGATTACCGAAATCATGAATCAGCCGAGTTGAAATCATGAACTAAATTCATGAATTTAACTTTTAGCTTTTAACTAGCTTTTAGCTTTTTGAGGGAGCAAAAGTGGACGAAGGTTTAGTTTACAACAAGTGCATATCAACACAGTGGGGCCGACAGCAAAGTGTACAACGAAGAAGAAGGAGATACACAAGGACGTGCAAAACAACGTGCGGTCACAAGGGAACTTACGAGAAGATGTGATCTTCGTGTTAGGGTTAGGGGTTGAAACTGTTGACGTTTTTTTACTACACTTGCTTCGTTGTCGTGCGCGAGAGTCTGTTTGTATTCGTACTCTCTCTCTCTCTTACACAACGCAAACGGTAGAACAACATTGAGCAAAAAGAAAATTATCAAATAACTGTCATATGACATGTGTGATTTCGTTCTAATTCCTCAATTTGGTGTAAATCAAACCATTTCTGACCAGAAATGTTATTACTAGAACATCTTTGCTTGCTATTTTCAGAATTCACAGAAGCACAACATCAGCAGCTTTTATTATAAGAAAAACTAAAATACTTACATTCGTGACGGTCTTCGACGACAGTGTCGTACAGCAGAGTCTGTCGTGTGACATTTTAGTCTGTTTTTCAAGTGTCGGAAGCAAAGGCAGTCGATTATCTCAGAAAATGTGTCGACTACGGTGACCGCTTACAAGACTGGTTAGGGTATAGTTGAATGCAGGGAGTTTGATCAGCTCTGTTATGATATTCTATAATGTTTTCTCTTTGTTTCAATATTAGCAGTCAATAATATCATTAAACATATAATTTAATATGATTTGAAGCTTTTTTTGCCTTCCGTGTGTTGTATACACCGTTTATTTGCCTCTAAAAAATCATTGTTGACATAATTCAATCGGACAACCACATCCGTGAATTTTCGCTCAAATTTAATTTGATAATGATCATTAGCGGTTGCCCGGTATTGGTCTGCTTAGCGCTGAATGAATTACTGCTTCGGACAGGCATTGTAATGGGCGCTTTTATGGAATTCATGGTGGGGATCCATTAAAAGGGCACATTCTCATAATGTTCATAATCAAATGACACAGTTGAAAGTGCTAGTTTTTAGCAGCGGAACACTTTCGTCACTTTGCAAGTAACATTGCAAGTTTTATCCAGGGTTTAGAGCATTCTACAAGTCTAAATCATGGTCTACAGCAGGGCGTCACAATATCAGCTTCAATCGACCAAATCGATGCGACGAAGAGACTGCTGGCTTTCTTTTTCTGTTAAAGTCGAACAGCTTCGCAGCATTCTAGAACCTCAGTCGGCGTGCACAAACAAATGTTCAATCGCTTGTCTCTCTTTCTCCCGTCGCTCCATTGGTCTTCCTTTCAAGCTTCGTCGAAATGGATGAGCGAAAGAGCGCTCGACTTTGATAGTTTTCTCTTTCATGAAACACATCAACAGAGGTTTCATGACGTATATGACGGAAAATGAAATAACACATTTAAAGCATTTCTCACGTCAAAACACTTGAAGATTACACGTCATATTTCTAATTTATCTTCCATCCATATATTTATCTAAAAAATGATCGAAAACGGAACATAACGCATTTTAAACAAATTGAAAGAGCGGCGATAGAGTGTTCGTGAAAGGGGATTGAAAGCCATAATGAAGTTCGTTTAACTAGAAAATCGACGTTATTTACATTGAAAGCGATGAGCAAAGCAACGACGAGAAGTTCCACAGCCAGCCTTTCCTTCCAAGCGTTCTTCTTTTTTATTTTCGTTTCTTGCTGATAGTCTAGCTAGGCGTTATAGAAATGAAGCGTCGAACACGTATGTATGAGAGAAACAAAACACGAGTTCATTTTAGAGCTTCGAAATTGTAGAGCCCTGGTCTACAGAACCCTTACAAAACCAAAATTGTTGGGAACCTCCAGTGTCACTATTTCCAAACACCTCACCGCACCGACTTGATGTCGGGTATCCATCGTTGATCACCGCAACCGATTTCAATCTCGGAAGAGTTCTAGCGAAGCAGAAGCTTGTCCCGGCGGTTGCAGACTTCAAATGCTATTAGATGCGTTTAGATGTTATCTTTGTCGAGTTTTTTGCCAAGCATCTTCTACCGCGGTCGAAGGAACTCAATCGCCTTCTGAAGGGTCGCTCAAGTTTGTGTGGTATCAGCTTGCCCAGTTGGGGTGGCTTTAGATCACCGTCTTGGTTCGGAACTAATTGGTTGTGTTGTTCTTTCACCTTCAAAACAAAACATTTGAATTGTCAAATTAACCGGGTTGCGAAGCATGTCGTTATTCACAAGCAAATAAAGTTGGTCTGGTGACTGGCACTCTCGGCACTGCCGGCACAGCTGCGGCACACTGAAAATTGGCAAACAATAAGTGTGTAGAGTGACCACACCTTGTGTCCAAAGTAGTTACAGTCGCTTCACTAGCATACGTACTACTCTGATTTTTGCTTTCTTCATGTCCGTCCTTCCGTTTTTCCTATTTGAGTTACTTGCGAGCCTTCCGCTTGGGAAAGGAATTCATTCGGTGGACTTCAGGAAGCATTTATCCTTATTCCCCGAATAGAATATATTCTCCTTCCGATTGAGGCAATTAAACGAGGAGGGAATCTCGTTTTCCACGTCTATGTAAATATCTCTCTCACATGTATGCATATCCAGGCCTAGCTCTGGTGGACATTTATCCCAAATGACACGCTTCAGTTTTCCGTATTTTTCCAGCACCAACGTAAAATGCTTATCATGTAGCGAGCGACAGTCGTACTTCCACTTCCACTTCCTCAAAATATAAACGATGATAAAATAAATGTTAGAAAAATGGCGTCTACGAGGAGTCGTGGCTTAAATCCATTCCCTTTTGCCCTCCTAGCGTTGTCCAGGTACAAACGTGTTCCATTTAATAGGGAACGTTCGAAAACAGATAGGAAACACTTTCGCCGTTGTGAGTTCGGCGGACAGCCTCAGCAAACATCATGGACACGTCGATACACTGAATCTTAGGACAATCCTTCATATGTCCACCCTGAGGGATAGTATTCGTAACAACTACGGCCTCAAAGCAAGCGTTATTTATCCGCGAAACAGCTGGCCCGCTGAATATTCCATGTGTAAGAATGGCATACACCTTGGTGGCACCGGCTTCCATCAGTTTATCTGCCGCATGGCAAATAGTGCCGCACGTATCGGCCATATCATCCACTAGGATAGCTACCCGATCTGTCACGTCACCAACCAGCACCATTGAAGCAACTTCGTTTGCCTTCTTGCGCTCTTTGTGAATCAGAGCAAATTCAACGTTTAATCGATCAGCAATCGAAGTCACACGCTTAGCACCGCCGGCATCCGGCTACACAATGATGGAATTTCGCCACTCTACGATATTCTCCCGGATCCACTTGAGCACTGCCGGTTCGGCATATAAATTATCCACTGGGATATCAAAGAAACCCTGAATCTGTGAAGCATGTAGATCCATCGTGATGATATGATCGGCACCAGCCACTGATAACATATTAGCTACCAACTTTGCCGAGATCGGTGCACGGCTCTTGTCCTTCTTATCCTGGCGAGCATAAGGGAAGCAGGGTATCACAGCGGTCACACGGGAAGCGGAAGCGATCTTGCACGCATTGATCATAATTAACAGCTCCATCAGGTTATCGTTGATCTCCCCGGATCCGGACTGTACGATGTACACATCTTCGCCACGTACTGATTCGCCGATTTCGACGCATGTTTCCAGATTGCTAAACTTTTTCGTGACCACCTTCCCGAGATCGATTCCGAGGCGATCCACTAGGCGCGACGCCAGATCCGGATGGGATGAACCGGAGAAGACCTTGATGTTGGGCATTCTGGACTGCAGGTGCTGCTGTTGCTGCTGCTGCTGAGTGTTATTGCTTGACTTCTCCAAGTTGTTCCGGATGAGACTTCTGGCGCGAATAGAGTTTGGTGATCTGACTGGCATCACACAATCTACGGTATCAAATTAAATAAGCTTAAATTTAATTGCTCCGGGTTATGTACCAAGACATAATACATAATTGCTTCAGATACGAATTTGATAAAGATTGCCTTTTCCTCCGCAACGCAATATGTGGCAGGATTCAAGTCCAATGATTTCACGAAAGTTTCAATCTCACCCATCGAAGGCTTTGCTGAGCCATGTGGATAGGCAAAACACAAAGTGTGGTTTATTTCGCACATATTGAAAAGTTTGCTTACCGTTGCCGTACGGCGACGGCAAATAGCACTGACCGGCTGCAAGCAAAAAATAAAGCGCACAAAAAAAAAATCCATGACCGAGTAAACAACTGTCAACTGCTGCTTTGTTCACTGCTAAAAGCAAACTGAATTGCAATATTTAACAATTACAGGATGTCCCACATCAAATTGCATCACGGAAAAAAACGCTGTAGAAAATTACCCATTGGGTATTTTCTCTTGAAAATTTGGGTAGAAGTAGTTTAGAGTGTATTGTTTCCACTGTATTTTTATCGCTGTCAGTTTTTCAAAAATTGGAAAAATGGCGCCACCCGAAAGCAACTTCGCGAATTGATTTTGCGCAAGCTCTTGGAAAGTCCTAAACTCTCTCATCAGGACATCGGAAAACAACTCGGAATCGTGCAGTCAACGGTGAGCCGTGTGATTAAACGTTACTACGAAACTCTGAGCATCGAACGGAACGAGAAATGCGGTCAGAATGGATGTTCTATTAGTGATCAGGATCACAAGCGTGTCGTGAAAGCGTTTTAGCGAAATCCCAATGCTTTGGTCAGGTATGTGGCCAAAAAGTTGAATCTGTCCAAGCCTTTCGTTCAGAGAGCCAGGACCGGGAGGGACTGCATACGTACAACGTGCAGAAGGCTCCAAATCGTGACGAACGGCAAAATACGGTGGGAAAGTCACGGGCCCGGAAACTGTACACTAGACTGATGCAAATTTTGACATTTTCGCTCCACAGTGCTCAAGCGGTTCCAAATCGGGTCCTGATTATTATCCCAAAATTTGAACTCATTCGATAAGAAACTGACTTGGCACAAACCATTTGAAGTTTATATGGAAATTACTATAGGAAAACCAAATATTTTGTTCATATCCATCTAACAATTTACCATATCGCTCTGCTTTAAAAAATGATAACTTAGCTCGTAGAAAATTTTCTCAGCTACAACTTTGTCCTTAACCACTTTTCATTATAATGTAAGCCACTAATGTCTTACGATTATGCTCAATCAACTGTTCAGCAGGCAACATTGGTGTTTCTGGCGCTTGGAATACAGCACAAAAATAATGGCTACTATGTCACACTGCAAGATACAGTGTTGCTCACAAAACAGCTGCTTGATCATGCCATAAGATTATCAATCTCTGAAACATTTAATAACTATTTTATTTGACGTTTGGCTCAACAACTATATTCTGCTAAGTTGAAGCAGAGAAAATTTTCCATAAGTATAGCTTTTGAATTTTCGAATAGTGCAATATGGAAAAAGGTAAAAAGACAATGAACAAAAAGTTTTGATTTCCCATAGTAATTTCCATATAAACTTCAAATGGTTTGTGCCAAGTCAGTTTCTTTGCAAATGAGTTCAAATTTTGGGAGACTAATCAGGACCCGATTTAGAACCGTATGAGCACTGTGGAGCGAAAATGTCAAAATTTACATCAGTCTACTGTACACCCAGATGCTGACGAAGCCTCATTGTCTCATCATGGATGATGAGACTTACTCCAAGGCGGATTTCGGGGCTACTGTTCTTCACCGCCCAGCACAAGTTCCAGCACATATTCCGGAGGAAGTAAGTTTTCCAAGAAATACATGATTTGGAAAGCGATCTGCTCATGTGGCAAACGGAGTGCGCCGTTCGTGACTACGGGGACTGAGAGACGGAGAGATCTACCTCAAGGAGTGTTTACATAAGCGTCTGACTCCTCTATTGAAGCAACACGTGGACCCTACGATCTTCTGCCCGGATCTAGCTTCGTGCCACTATTCAAATGTTGTCCTGGAGTGGTACGAAGCCAACGGGGTCGCTTTCATACCCAAGAACATAACTCTCCCCACCCCCCGACGCACGTCATTAAGGCTCATCTAAAAATACTGGGCTATAATGAAGCAGGCACTACGGAAGCATCCCAGACAACCAGAAGTCGTAAAACAATGTACAGACAGTATCGTAAATAACTAAAGTTTAAGTCAACATCGCATATAAGTAAGACATACATCGCATTTTGTTTAAGTTGAATCGTATAGAATGCAAATTTCCGACTTAGATGCCATGAATCATTTTTTCCATCGTACTATATCACAAATTAAATCGGATTACATCGTTAAACTTTTCAAATTGAATTTGTTGTTACAGATTAAATCGTTTATGACGTCAAATCAGCTCTTTTAAAAAGAAATTAAAACTTGCACGTATATGGCCTCCACTTTTGTACGTATAAGCCCAGTTTTTGCATTCTATACGATTTGATTGTATGTATATATGTTTGTAAATCACAGAAACAACTTTGAATATACATGCATTCTGGTTGCCTGGGATCTCAAGGAGGTCAAATCTGAGGAAGACATGAAGAAAAGGTGGGTTTCCGTACAGAAAAAGCTGCAGCCAGATGTTGTACAGAACCTAATGCCTGGAGTTAAGCGTAAGGTGCGAGCGTACGGTTATGGTATTGAAGTTGAATGAAATAAATATCCCAAAAGCTTACTAATGGGTTATATTTCACTGTCTGAAAGTTTGAAAAGGATTGGCCAACTAGGTAATTTTCTACAGCGTTTTTTTCCGTGATGCAATTTGATGTGGGACACCCTTTACCAAGCGAATGTTGAAGAAGACTGGCAACCCGAGCAAAGCTGCAGATCAATTTGAAATCAAAATTTGCTGTTATGATGTAACTTATTTTGAATACTCCAGTTGATCTCATTTTGGTTGACTTAAAGGTTAACACAGCAAAAATGAGAGCATACTTTTACACTGTTGAATCAAACGGAAAACTAATCTTGCTTTCAAGGAAATCAATTTGATTTCTGATTTTGCATTCATGTTTAACTGAATACGGGTCTGGCGTAAATCGTATTTGCTTATGTGTTAGAACTAAAAGCGTTAGTTTAACCAGCTTAAATTAATGTTTAAACAAGACGTTAACAGCAGAACTTCAAGTTAAGATGCTTTCATTTAAATAGTCTTGACTGCATAATGAAAGCACAATATAATATCAGACTAATGTCGTGACAATTGAAATCAAAATGAGTTTTCATTATGATAGGAACTGCAAACTTTAATATAGATTTGCTTTCATTTTGTTAACCGACTTTGCTCGGGAAGATGGCTCGGGATGCTGCATAAATTGCCAGATGTTGGAACAAACTGGCTGCTGAATATGTTTCGTACGTCAAGCTGATTTCTTACTTCCGGATGCAAACTGGGCCTAACTTTAAAAAATTCCAAGATCTTGAGCCTGGGAAAATGATCACGAAACATGAAATTTAATTTTTCAATATAAATTTTGGAAGTGGTGAACTTAATGTGAGTTTAACCTCTAATGTATGAGATAGACACAGATAATATTTAAAAAATCTGGAATTGGTAATGCTCGGAAATGTTTTTTTTTTTACAAATGAAAAGCATGATACACTTTTTAAATTTATTTGCGTATTACAATTGAAATGTAATTTCGGATAGGATAATAATTCTAGACTGAGACCGGAAGGCATGCCTGTTTCAGCTTTAATAGTTTTATATGTTTGTGGTTTCTTTCAGAAATAATGCACTCGAGAAACCCCTAATAGCCATAAAAATAACAATTTCCTACCCAGTGCCCAAGAGAACAGTGGACTGCTCCAAGCTGAGATCAACAGTTGTCGGCAAACCAGCCAAAGCAATGGAGTAGAACGATGAAAAGACATCTTGCCAGTCTGAGCTCCATTCTCAGATATCTCCGGCATGTGTATCGGATTTATAGCATCATTTCCTTCGGCCGCTCCTGCCTACCATCGTCCTGGGGACAGTTTTTGTCAAAGTAGCACCCAGCAAGGACGACCACGTGTCTATGTATCAAAAGATATGAACTTGAAGATATGGGAGTCAAATTTGGAAAAGTGATGCCATCTACACATACGAAGTGGTGGCTGGAGGACTACTTTTTCGTTTCCAGTAACAGTCGACTGTTGGCAGTAGGCAGCAATGAATCGTACTAGGTGAAAAGGAGATGATTTCGACGTATGGATGTTGGAAATATTTTGCCTCCGGCTGACTGAGAGGAAAGACGACTCCTCCATTCATACATCATCTCCGGGTGGAATACGAAGCGTCTCCATGTGGGTAAGTACACATCAATGCGAACGCGTCGTGGATTTTGTCGCGATTGTGATATGATGCGACGCAAAAATATGCTGTCGACAAGTTATGACGAATTCCCAGTGCCATGTGAAGCGCCGATTGAATGGTCTAGAATTCCTCACACTCACACGCATACACTAATGATGTATTTTCGCGTTTCTCAAGATTGCAGATTTATTCTTGATATTCGATTCCGGTATGACAATATCAACAACATAACTCCCACCCACGCGCATCAGGAACGTTTGATTTCGTTTTAATATACAGCCATCGTCGCTCAAGTCGGTTCAAGTGAAGGGATGAAGTGCTCGGCTGTATTGATGATGGGAAGTGATACTGGCAGATGGATCAATCAGATTCGCATGTGGATTAGGTTTTATTGCGACATTGACTTTTTGATCGATGTTGGTACTGGCTGGCTGACTGACTGGATCACATTTTTGGGAGGATATTTCCTTTCGTTATTCCTTGCAGGAGCGGCTGCTTTATTTGATACTTACGAATATAGCTATGTTTGTCGCCATATTCTGTGACATTGCTTTATTATTATTTTTAGGATCGATTGATTCGTTTAGTGTCGACGATTGAACGGTTAGCAGTTAAAGAAGCTTTCAACGGTGATGGTTGAAGAAGGAATGGAGTAAAT